ACGACTGCTCACCTCTGCTCCAGTTGGCATCAGCCAGTGTGGCGCAAAGGCTGGGGGCTGGGATCTAAATGTTCACTCACATGCCCAATGTCTGGCACAGTCTCACTGGGGCCTCAGCTGGGGTTCTCAGTCAGAATCAGAAATGCAGCCTCTGTCTGTGCCTGGGGTTTCCTCGCAACGTGGTGTCGTCTACGTTCCCAGGGCAAGTATCCCAACAGAAAAAGAGCCAAATGGAGGCCATATTGTTTTTGACCGAGCCTTGGAAGCCACGGTGTTAACTTCTTCCACAATCTATTCAAGGCACAAGGGTCCTCCAAGTTCAAGGCACAAGGACATAGATTCCCCTTCTTGATGGAGGAGTGGCAGGCTTCTGGGAAACATGCGGGACCCAAAATATCACCCTATGAACCACGTCTTGTATTTTCTGTAATCCAATGCTTTGACGTCTGGGGCCTTGTCAACCCCAGAGAGATTGCCCCTCCCAGGGTTAACCGATTCCTGGAGATGGTGAACTGCTGACCCACAAAGCACACCATTCAAATTCAAACCAACCAATCCAGAGCCCACACACCATCAGTGTTTTTACTGGTCTGTCATGTTCCAAGCTACTACGCCCCATGCCCTCTTCACCCCAGGGTCACTTCCCAGACAACTAGGGACAGTCCCTGTGCCTCAGAGCCTCACTGAAATTACTCAAAGTAGCCAAACCTAAGCTCACTTACCCTGCCTCGCTGATGCTTTCCCTGTGAAACCTCAGTGGAGGTTCTTTTTCACTTTTCCCCCCTTTCTGCCTCCTGACTGATCCTGGCACTTCTTCGGGTCATCCCTCGTGGCATGGCATGCCATGGGGCATGGCATTCCCCCTTGGAATCTGTGAGTGTAATGACATATCTTTTCAGTCATAAATGTCTCCTGATCTGGTCCCCTTACTCTACCTCAAATTTTTTAGTAATATATGATATTTTAGAGTAATCACCGTGGCCATCTGGGGGAAATACAATCTTCCACTCTCTGCCTTATAATTGGTTATGTACTTGCCTTTGCCCTCAACTTGACTGGTGCACACAGAAAACACACCCTCCTTTTATCTCTTTAGCCCCTACGCCCAGTACATAACAAGTACTCAATAAACGTTTTTTGACTAACTGGCTGACTGAATACTTGAGAGCCATACCACAACCTTTGTCCTCCTTATTAGGTATCCAAAGAAATAGGACCCTTTGTACCTTTTTGCTCTACCGGGACAGCGTCTATCCGTCGGCATTCAGAATGGTCCAGCATTTGACATACCGTCGTAGACAGCCTCTAACAAAACTAGGCTCTCTTGAACCCCTGGTAATAGAATTGTTTATTTTTATTCATTATTTTTATTTTTTTTTTTAATTTTTTAAAATGTTTCTTTATATTTGCGAGAGCGAGAATGAGACAGAGCTTGAGCAGGGGAAGGCAGAAACACAGAGGCAGAATCCGAGGCAGGTCCCAGGCTCCGAGCTGTCAGCACAGAGCCTGACTCGGGGCTCGAACTCAAGAAAAGGGAGATCGTGACCTGAGCGGAAGTCAGACGCTTAACTGACCGAATCCTCTACCCTTATACCAAGGAGGTTGGGAAAGCCCCCAAATCTGCACGTGGCATGTGTGCAGGCCAGCTTCAGGGAGTTCGTGCCGTGAAGCCTAAAGTTCTCATGAGGTTGTCTACAACAGGTCAGGAGGGCCTGCGGTGGCTTCGTGCGTGCCACATGTGTTCGTGACAGGATCAAGCGCGCTTTCCATATTGGGGAGCAGAAAATCATTGTGAAAGTGTTGAAGGCACGAGCACCGAGTCAGAAAGCTACATAAAAAAATGAAGATTTTTGAGTAGCTAAAAAATAAAGAAGAAGAAAAGAAAAGAAAAAAGACTTCCTGTAAATTCCTTGGACACATTGTGCCACGCTGGCTGCTCGTTCTACCAGCCCTTCCTTATTTTATTTTATTTGACTTTATTTGACTTTATTTTATTTTATTTTTAAAGAGGCAGAGAGAGGGAATCTTGAACAGGCTCCATATTCAGCATGGAGCCCAACGTGGGGCTCGATCCCACAACCAACCCTGGGATCATGACCTGAGCCGAAATCAAGAGTCAGACACTCAACTGACTGAGCCACCCAGGCGCCCCTCTGCCAGCCCTTCTCCTTCTACTCCACCTGCTAAGGCACAAAAACCCAACTCTTGTCACCTCTTCTTTGTGGGATTACGTGGGATAGCACAACTCCTCACGGGTTGGACGTGTGGAGACAGAGCGGGGCCTCTGAGGCGACTCTCATCACCCGAAGTCTACACTGCGTTCAGAGTGTTCACACAAGTTGTATCACCTGCCGTCATGCATACAAACAGCTGGGCATCCCTTATCCAGGCAGGTCAGTCCTGCCTTGTGAAACCAGTTAAGGGGAATCTCCCTAATACTATAATCTCCAGGGAGTTCCCAAAGAAAGGGAGTCATGCCTTCAACTGCCCCCATCTCAGAAAAGTTTAGAAACGACAAAGTTCCGCGCAGACCCCTGGGACGATGCCTCGATTCTCTCTAGCAGCGTTGGCGGTTAGAAACAGCAAAAGCAAGGGGATGCTTCTCCCGTCCTTTGGATTTCGAATGCCTTCTCCCATTCCTCCTGTGAGGACAGAGTCCTCCCAAAAGAACCAATACCTTCTTCCTCAAGCCCCAATGATGTATGAATGGAAGGGCACCTAAGTAAGATTTACAGCCGGGTAGGAGGTCAGGGAAGATTCCCCACACCTCTTCCAACTGAGCGTCCAATGCTGGGATCCATTTGACAATTTTTTTTTTTTAAACGTTTATTTATTTTTGAGACAGAGAGAGACAGAGCATGAACAGGGGAAGGTCAGAGAGAGAGGAAGACACAGAATCCAAAACAGGCTCCAGGCTCTATGCTGTCAGCACAGAGCCCGACGCGGGGCTCGAACTCACAGCCCGCGAGATCACAACCTGAGCCGAAGTCGGCCGCTTAACCGACTGAGCCACCCAGGCGCCCCCATCTGACAATTTTTAAAAAATCTAGTCTTATTCCCTAAGAAGAGATGAGGTTGAAAATGCAAATATTTCTTGGGAGAAACAACAAATCGGTGCTTGTTCCAGTAAATAATCCTTTTTTTGTGAGCAGATCTGGTTAAGGGGTAGGAGACAAAACAGAGAAGAAACACAGGGGTAGGTCCTGAGGGCCGAAAACTGATTCTCTGCCTCCTTCCAGAAGAGGCTTCCAGGAAGGCTTCCTTCCTCTGCCAAGACCTTCTCCAATGATCATAGAGTTTTGAGTAGTTGTCAAAAAAAAAAAACAAAAACATTCTAGTTCCGCACCCCCTAGAGCCCTCTGGTGCCATTCTCCAAGCCCTTCAACTAACCTGGGTCATCTAGGAATATCTCAGCTGCTCTAAGTTCTCCACAGAAAAATGTTTTTAAATGCATAGCATACCAGGGCTCCTGGGTGACTCAGTTGGTTAAGTGTCCAAGTCTTGGTTTCAGCTCGGGTCATAATCTTACCTCCGTGGGTTCGAGCCCCTAGTCAGGTTCCATGCTCTCGGTGCAGAGCCTGCTTGGGATTCTCCCTCTCTCCTCTCTTGCTGTCCCTCCCTGTGTGTTCTCTCTCTCTCTCTCAAAAATAAGTAAATAAACTTAAAAAAATAAAGCTATTATAGTATAAAATAAAATAAAATAAAATAAAATAAAATAAAATAAAAGCCTAGCATACCTTATAAGGAGTAAGACTTTTCCTGGCCAAATTTCAAATGCTAAATGCAGCCTCATTCACAAGAGCCCAAAGGTGGGGCCAACCCAAGTGAGCGTCAGCAGATGAACGGATACACAAAACGTGGTCTAAACGCACAAAGGATTATTATTCAGCCTTAAAAAGGAATGAACTTCCAGGACAGGATGCTAAATGAAATAAGCCAGACACAAAAGGCCAAATATTATATGATTCCACTTATGTGAGATTCCTAAAATATGCAAACTCCTAGAGACACAAAACAGAACAGTGGTTATCAGGGGCAGGGGGGAGGGAGGAACGAGGGGCCACTGTTTATGGGTACGGAGCATCTGTTTGGGAAGGTGAAAAAGTTTTGGAAAGGGACAGAGGTAATGGCTGCACAATAGTGAATGTATCAAATACCATCACCTAAATGTGGCTAAAGTGGTAAATTTTATGGGATGTATGTTCTACCACAACCACCACCACAACAACATTTTCTTAATTTGTTTTTCTAACGTTTTTATTCATTTTTGAGAAATGGAGAGAGACGGAGCATGAGTGGGGGAGGGGCAGAGAGAGAGAGACAGACTCTGAAGCAGGCTCCAGGCTCTGAGCTGTCAGCACACAAACTCAAGTTCTAGAACTCAGGCCAGAGTTCAACACCCTCCCCATGTGGGTCCAACCTTCCAAGCTCTCTCTCAATACCCACCTCCCCCCACCTGGCCTCTTCCCCATCCTCCAAACACCCCTTGGGCTCCCTCCCTGCTGGGTGTCCTGCCCACCCCACCGTCCAGCGCGAGCCCCCGCTCCTCCGCGGTCCCCCCTCGAGCCGTCCATAGTGACGCGGTGCTTTCTGAACGGCATCCTTTGTCTACATCGTTCCCTTTATTGCTTGGTGATACAACAGATCTACTGGGGGTGGTAATTAGATTCTGAAGATTAAGGCTCTAAGGAACTTTAGGAGATTGTTTCAACTCCCTTAATTTGTAGTGAGGACCCCGACCCTGAGCGATTACTTGCCCAAGGTCCCAGCACTCATTAGCGACAGAGGAGGGAGTACAATCCACATCCTGACACCGGCTCCCTTCTCTTCTCCATGGCCCTAGGTTGTCACTATTGTCCCCAACAGGGTTTCAAGCTCTGCCGGGGCAGGCAAGGGCCACCCCCCACCCCCCGGTCAGCTGTGTCCTCACCAACCCAGCGCGGTTTTTAGTAAGTCCACGCTGAGACCGTAAAGGTGTTTCTAGACGATGCCGCCGGGGCCTCAAATTTCTCTTAGAAGTTTCTTAAGGACCAATGTTTCTCCCTCTTCCACTTCCGAATCTCTTCCTTGCGAGTTTTCTAAGAGGGAATTAGGCAAACCAAAACAAAAGCAGTTGGATAATAGTTTTGCAGAACCTCAGCCAATTTTTGCAACCCCAGAAACATGTTCCGTTTACTGCTTGGCCCTAGATGTGGACCCAGCGTAAACTGAACCAGACACACTAGCTCTAATTTTTTCTCAACTCTGCAGACAGATAGTAACCTGGGTCGGTGCAGTTCATCTATTTCCCGGACCGTGAATTCACTGGCGGTGCTGTCTCGGCTGCGTGGGCATTCTTTCAGTTCCAAGGCACCCAGGCTGCTTCCTCCTCCGCAGAGCTCTTAAAAAGAAAAAAGAAAACACAGCTTCGCCTCACCCTCTGCAGAGACAGAACCCCTCCCAGAGAGCCAGGCAGCATCCACTTGGAAGGGTGACTCTGCAGACGTCGCCTTACCTGGGGCAGAGCACGGCTCCCCTCCGGCAAATCAGCGCATCTCTCTGGGAAGCCATTCGTCCCTCCAGCCTAATGGATTCCATCAGGAGCAGGATGTGGCTTTTGCCAGCACAAACCCTAAACCCCCGGAGGTGACAGGGGCCTCCTGCCGGCCCATCGGCACCGGGGTTTGCTGGTGAGGACGACAGGAAGGAAAACTGGGGAAAGTTCGGAAAGCCGAGTAACTTTTGAGAGGTCCGATGGGGGAGGAAGGCCCAGGTCCGTAATCACAGGAGCCTCGTGCAAAATCTAATTACAACTTGGGCGGAAACGGAGGCCAGAAACAAGTGTCATTCATCAACTGAAAACACCAACTAAGGTAAACACTGCCACAAACTCAGGGAAAAAAAAGAAGGTGGGGAGGAAGGAAAGAGGGGTGATCACTCTGGATATCAAGCAAATCAAATTACCCTGAAGGCCCGGCCAGACACATGCATTAATCATCGGTTATCCCAGCTGCACACCTGTATGGGGAGGAGGAGCTGACGTGCTCCAAATGGCTCGGGCAGACGAGTGGGCTTCCCCCCCGGGCTGGACGGGAGGGACAGGGGCGCAGGCCCAGGGGGGCCCAGCCCAGAAGTGGCCACGCGGCAACCCCCAGCTCTCCCCGGGGGGGCCAGTTGGAAGGAAGAGGAGAATTCGACCCCCCCGCGGGGGGGGGGGTGGTGGTGCAATCCCCAGCTTTCCAGCCAAGTGACTTTCTTCTGGAGCCCGCGTAGCTGCTGAGTGCCACGTTAGGCAGCTTTCCCTGGAAGAGCGCAGGCTTTGGGGGGAAGCGAAGGCAAGTCCAAGGACTAGTGGGCCAGAAGCCTCCAAATCCTCCGTGTGGCTGGTTTTCTTCTCTCGTGCAGTTGAGAGTGCAGGGGCATGGCAAGAGAGATGGGGAGGGGTGTGGGCTGGAGACAAAGCGGGCCCCTGACTGTGTTTCCCAGGGTGGGGGGGGGCCCTCAGGCTCTGCAGCCCACGAGTTCCCCACCCCGGGGTAGTCACGAGCACCAGAGGGGGCTGAAAAGCAGCTCAGCCATCGGGGCTGGGAGCTGTTTGCCCTTGATGAGAAATTTCAAGTGGGAGCCTATGTGTGTGGGCTCAAGTGGGAGCCTCAAGTGTGCCTATGTGGATGAGAGAGGGCATTTAGAGGGAACAAATGATTTATTAGCGGGGCCTCCACAAAGTCTCCTTCGGAAAGGGAGGGAGCGTCCTCCCACCGCCCCCCTTATCATTAAAACATTACAGGGGTGGAATCCATTTGGCCTCCTAAGCCGGCCTGTGAGGGAGTCACAGCTGATCAGGCAGCCCGCTGAGCTCCCCCAGCCTTTCTCTGAGTGCAACAATATGTATAAACTGGCAAAATGGACCGGGGACCACTTTGATGTTGAACAAAGAGGAAAAACTCCAAAACAGCGTAAAAAAAACGTATTCCTGTTTAACTCTTCTGTGTCCTTTCTGCAGCGCAAATTAAAGACTCGAGGCAGCTGGACAGTGCCCCAGGGAGAGCTAAATAATGAAGGATCGCCATCGCAGGCTCTTAGGCCCAGGTATTCCCTACCAAGAGAGAACGGCCAGTCTGGGCCTCTGAATTACTTGCTCTGATTATATAAGGGACGGTCTTGTGAGCGGTTGCTGGGGCCTGAAGCTGTAGGATGGGACCCACGATCGCCCTCTCATTTAACCCTTGCAACACCTCCGTGAGATCCAAACTGTTTCCCCCTTCGGAAGACGGAGGAACAGAGTGGTGAAGGGACACGCCTAGCACGTCCCGGCCTATCCAGGCTTCCAAACTCAGGACTTGAAAGTTCCCAACCTGTCCAGGGAACGCAAAGCTCAGGTTGTTTTTCATTTTCACGAGTGAATTCCCTCTTCTCTGGAATGAGATGTTCCCCATAAGTAAACTTCTCCTATCTAAAACTTATCTCTTTAAAGCCAAATCTTTTTACATTTGTAATTAATTTGGAATCGAATTTTTCTCAAATATATTGTACGCTTCCATGGCTTACAAAAGAGAAAATCCCGAGGAAATGTCCTTCCTTGGGACGGGCAAGAATTCCAGCCTACATGTCCTCAGAGATACCCAGGAAGGGGCAGGCGATGTGAGCCAGGTTGGCAACTTCCTGCCGACGTGGGGAAGAGGGACCCACTCCAGGGACTGCAAGCCAGAGGTGGGGCAGAGGGTTGAGAAAGATTTTCTTCTTCCTTTTTTTTTTTTTTTAATGTTTTTATTTATTTTTGAGACAGAGAGAGACAGCCCATGAGCAGGGGAGGGGCAGAGAGAGAGGGAGACACAGAGTCAGAAGCAGGCTCCAGGCTCCGAGCTGTCAGCGCAGAGCCCGACGCGGGGCTTGAACTCACGAGCTGTGAGATCATGACCTGAGCCGAAGTCGGTCGCTTCACCGACTGAGCCACCCAGGTGCCCCGAGAAAGATTTTCAACCACCATTTGGAAGTGGAGTGAGAAAAACAGTCAGGGATCAAACAGTAAGAAGCCTGTGAGATTCTGGCACCATTTCCTCCTTGGTAATAACTGGTAAAAAAACAAAAACAAAAACAAAAACAAAAACAAAAACAACAACAACAAAATTAAAAAAAAAAAAACAACTACCTCTAAAACAAAACAAAATACATTTTTGAAAAATAAAAATGGGTGTGAGCCAAAATGTTAACAGTGGTGATGCGCGGGTGATGTTACTAACCTTCTTCTCCTTCCTTCTCACACCGGGGCTCCGCTTTAACTCAGACCAGAGAGGTCAACTCTCAAGCTGTGAAGACAAGACATCATCTGGCCTCTTGAGCCACGTCACGTTTTGCAATAAAATGTAAGCAGCGTCCGCATTATCGTGTTGCATCCGAATTGTGTGTCCATACGCCTGAAAAATGGGGAGACTTTGGTGTCAGAAAGGACTGACTTGGAATCCTAGCCTTTCCACATACTTAGCAGTCACTTGGGGCACTTTATCTCTCAGCCTCGGTTTCTCTAACATAGGACTACCAATAGCTACTTCACAAGGCTTTGGTGAGACTCCATAATTCTCCCTTGCCATTTATGGAATGAACACAATGAGCAGATACATTCATGGGAGCAACCTATTTTGCCTATGTTTACAAATACGACACTCCCAGGGGCGCCTGGGTGGCTCAGTCGGTTAAGTGTCTGACTTTGGTCCAAGTCACGATGTCACAGTTCATGGGTTCAAGCCCCGCGTTGGGCTCTGTGCTGACAGCTCAGAGCCTGGAGCCTGCTTCCGATTCTGTGTTTCCTGCTGTCTCTGCCCCTCCCCCTCTCGCACTCAGTCTCTCTCTTTCTGTCAAGAATAAACAAACATTAAAACACACACACACACACACACACACACACAAATTCGACAGTTCCACCCTCCACACTGTCAAGTTAGACCTTATTGAATCATTAGTTGTTAAGCCACAAAATTTATGGTGACTTAGGTCTGTTCTGGACACTTCTTCACAGACTATGGCGGTTACCAAAGTGCCAAAAGAAATTCGCCGTAAGGTCGGTGGCACAGCACGAGACCATATTAGAATAAAGCTGCCCTGAAGAGAACGATGTGGGTTGCACGTCCAATTAAATAATGGACTTAGTTCTCTCACATGACTTATCGCTCAGTTAATACAATAGCCTTGTAGGTGGGTATTATTATCCCCATTCGACAGAAACTTTCCACCACTTCCCATGGTCACAGAACTAACAGGTGCCATAGCTGGGATTCATACCCGGATCTCCCGGACTCCAGTGTCCCTTCTTTATCCATTGTTTCATGTTGTCACCTATTTTCATAATTGACTTAGCTACTGGATTTGTGTTCATAGTAACCCAGCACATCATTTAAAGCTGGACAATTCCAAGGAAGTTTTTCAACGGTTTATGATCCATGGGTGAGCAATTCTGAATATTACTAGTAAAATGCAATTTCTCCCTCCATCTGTCTTCTTTCTGCTTCTGTCTCTTTCTCTCCCCCTCCCCTCCCCCACTTGATAGTATTCCCATCGATATAAAGATAGGATTGTAAATCCAGGATGTGAGTTCAAACTTTTTTTTTTTTTTTTCTATTCACTGCATGAAGGAGAAAGAGAAGAAGATTACAAAGATATATCCTTTAACCTCAGGAGTTTATCCTTGGCTTTTGTACAGAAAACCATTTACCCTAAGGCTAAGGTAGTATGTGCAATGTCTCTGCTGGTACTTTTTTTTTTTTTTGGAAGATTTAAAAAAAAAATGTTAAGTAACCTTTCTTTCTTTCCTTTTTTAAGGTTTGCGTTAAAGCAATTTGCATTTTAATTTATTTTAATTCATTTATTTATTTAGATAGAAAGAGAGCACACATGGGGGAGAGGAAAGGAGAGAGGGAGAGAGAATCCCAAGCAGATACTGCACCGTCAGCAAAGAGCCTGACGCGGGGCTCGATCTCACAAACCGTGAGATCATGGCTGGAGCAGAAATCAAGTCAGGTGCCACCCAGGCACCCCTTGAAGTAATCTTTCCACCCCAAATGGGACTTGACCCTACAACCCCAAGATTAAGAGTCACCAGCCAGGCACCCCTCTGCTGCTACATTAGGCAGCGTTTCCAACCAGCGTGCCAAAAGCACTACCCCAAAAGTGAGGGTAGAGAAGCCTCTGACCTCAGGGAAGCCACGGAGATCCAGGGTGGCCAGAGTCCCAGGGTCTGTCGCCTCCAGCCAAGAGCAGCCCTTACCAACGTCATCACTTCCAATGTGTCCTTCCACGTGAGAAGCTAAGGAAGCTCTTCTTGTCTCAAGTGGTGGGAGGGGGCAAATGTCGGGCAGGAAAATCATTTACTAGAAGTATCACTTGAAACACTTCCCCAAAACACTCCAGGTGTCCAAAGACGTCAATGACACTTAATCCTCTTCTGGGAAAAATATGGAAGAGAGAGTCCGAAATCTAGACTGGAAATTGTCACTAAACTCTCAGCATGTCCCCTTCCCCTCTCTGACTTGGAACTGACCCTCTCCACAGTCCTCCAGTCTCCTGGTTCCTGTTGGAAAAACTCACTCCACTGCAAAGGGGCAGCTCGACGGAAAACACCGCGGTAGCATTCGTTGGCCCCACAGAGAGGCAGCTGTTTTTGTGTTGACGTAACTTCGTGGAAATCCAGCCATCTTTTTTTTTTCTTTTTAATGTTTACTTATTTTTGAGAGAGAGAGAGAGACAGACAGACAGACAGAGCGTGAGCAGGGGAGGGGCAGAGGGAGAGAGGGAGACACAGAATCGGAAGCAGGCTCCAGGCTCTGAGCTGTCAGCACAGAGCCCGACGCGGGGCTCGAACTCACGGACCGCGAGATCGTGACCTGAGCTGAAGTCAGACACCTAACTGACGGTGCCACCCGGGCGCCCCCAAATCCAGCCATCTTGCGGGAACCACAGCGTGACAGAGGGTGCCACGGTAGCAGCTAGCGTAGACGTGGCCTAAGTCTCAGCCTGCCCCACAAATATTTCGCTCTCCAACACCCACCCACCAGGCAC